AATGTGCCAACTGTCCTAATAAATGTAAGAGAATAAGAAAGATACAGAAAATAAGCAACAAATCGTACTATAATATCCTTTTATCAAATTGTATTATAAATCCTTCGTTTTAGTGTAACCTTAGATGTCAAAGTTTAATTTGCAAAAACATAGTGAAAATTGGAAAGGGTTTTAGTGCAAGAGGAAATATAAAACATCATGTGAATTAAATTGTTACTTAGTCTTTTTTATGTGTATTTGATTATTCATAAAAATATGGGAATTTTTTTATTTACAATCGGATTTTTATGTTTTCAACTTATGTCATATGAATATAATAGATATAAAGATGCATGATAACTATGTAAATAAGTGAACATATTAACGTTAAATTCTATAGAGTTATATAAAAGAATTTTTTTTTACGTTTGATTTCTATAGGACCTTATGTTAGACCCATATGAATCATATGTAAAAAGTCTCTTTTACATGGGACTATGACACTTTTGACATAACTCTTTTAAAATTTTCAGTTTGAACCTTTCTTCCTTACTTCTCTTTGTAGGAAAAAGCTACAACTAAGGTTATTTTCTAGCAAACAGAATTTCATTGTGGGGCTTGCAATAGGGCCAAGTGCATTCATGTTTCATTCTGTGAGTGTGAACTCATGATACAACTTGCTCTTAGTTATTTTTTATTGTAAAAGTCATAGAAAATATAGTTGAAATTGATTTACTACTTATATTAAAATTTATTAGTGATTTTAAATTATAATTTAATATAGCCATCATAATCAAAACTATATTATGCAAGGATAATGTCATCAACACATATCAACGAAACAATAAAAAAGAAGTTTGTTAGTTTTAACAAAAAAGAGAGAATGATTTGATGTAGACAAATTAAAGTCGATAACTAATATGGCTATAGTAACCTTTTCACACCATTATATATTCGTCTATTTTAAGTCGTATAACGATTTTATCAATATAATGACAAAGTCAAATTAATTAAAGGAAACATTATTTTACATTCAATTGCTTAAGGAACATTTAGTCACAACTAAGATAAGAAAAACTCTTAGAGTAGTTAGTTTTTGCTTTAGGAGATAATGTATCAAGGTAATCAACCCTGCTAGCAAACAATTTAGCTTTATGTATTTTTATGTTACCATCACCATAAAATTTTATTTTGTAAACTCATTTGTAGCTAATAGGAATCTTACTTAAAGGAATTTCATTTATTTGGCAATCACTAGTGCAAAATATGTTTTTTATAGCAACATATTATATTGGTTCTAATCCACCAAATATAAAAAGTGAGGTGGTGGCAATTTTGTATATAATGTGAAATCTTTTGTACCAATTGGACTAATAGCCGTTATAGAAAGTGGTGGGTTGGCAATTATATAATAAATTGAAAATGTTCTATACCGTTTCTAAGTGTATAGTATAGAAAGTATTTTCTATAACTTTCCTTTTCAAACCCAATTTCATCGTTCTTTCTAACTTCAACCCCTAAACCCTAACTTTTTCTCAACCATTTTGGCGAACTTTTGGCTTCACATGTACACTCTCAAGAGTTGCTTCAACGCCTCAAACCTCACTAACTTCATAAATCCCTTGTGTAACACCACCCAATACCTCGCTCTCTGTGTGGAGTAGCTCTCAGTATACGCTGTCGCCGTCCAGAAAGTCTTTGACACTGGTTGATGTTTCCAAAGTAATCAATTTTTCTAATAAGTATATTGGTAGTTTGTAGTACAACAAGTGTCATATCCACAAGGATTTGGTAAAATATGCAATGTTTTAAAGTAGTTTAACTTGTAAGGAAATAAAGTTGGTTTCAAAGAGTAACAAGTTACAAAAACAATTTTGATTGAAAAGGTTGACTTCAAGATGATAAAGACATGTTAAAGCTAGATTTCACCACTTTGTACATCTCTTGTAATGATTCAGTTATTATTTATAAAGATGCAATTAATCATGTTCTGAGAGTTCTCTTTGAATATAACTTTAAGTTCATTCCTAGATCCTAAAGCCTAAGATAACCTTACTTCAGTATTATTCCTCAATGATTGCTTGAATGAATCACTTCATTAAGATAAGACGTATAAACTAGCTAGAGTTTAGATTTATTCTAAGCACATAAGAGCAGGAGGAGAATTTGTTGGACCACAACTTGAGACTAGTTCCTACTCAATCCTAAGCTAGTGAAATAAGATGTGTGATCAGTTCATCCAATAATAGATATAAACTAATTCACAAACATGTAATAAAAGTGTACATTGTTAGATAAAACAATACCAATACAAAGAGTTCTAGAGGGTTACATCTTTGCTTTAACACATAGTGAGATTTAGCTCCTCATAATAGATGGAGAAACAATACAAAATATTGAACAACCATCCTCTATTATGACCTCTAAAAATGTTCACTAGTAAAGAGGTAAATGTCTAAGAAGCTCTCCAAAAATCTCTCAAAAGAACCTCTCCAAAAATTCTCTCAAAATAGAGGTGCAACTATGTTTTTATAAACTGTCTAGGTATGACTTCAATAGTGCACTTGTGGTTCCAGCTGTAAAGGTTTCCCCCTAAAGGTAGGTTTGCTTATGTGGCTCAAGCCTCATGCTTTGATGTTGTAGTCCCTAAGATAACTTCTTTAAGAATGAGTATTCATGGCTTAACCTCAGTTCAGTCTTGAGGGTCATCCTCATGAGGGTTTTCTTGTGTGGATTTAAGCCTCAACCTTTGTTGCTTCGGTAAACTAGTATCAAGTTTTGTCCAAAGTTGCTGGGATTTCTTCCATTTCTATAATTTTTCCACTTTGATTCTCTCTTAATATCAAGAATTGCAAAACAAGTTAAATTGGGATGGTTTACGTATAAACTTAACAAAATCTAAGTAAGATAAGTGTCAAATTCATCTCAAAATTAATCATATAGGGTAACTTATTCATCACATCCACGGGACACCATCTTGATATATTGTGCGGTGGAAATCTACATGGGTGTATAATTGTCGTAGTCACTAAGGTAAGGTGAAATGGACAGGATTTCATGGACTGTGGGAGACCTGGGTGAGCTCATGCTCACCGATGAGGAATGTAGTGACGACTTGTTTGGAAGGTGCTGAATGAGAATATCAAAGACGCAAAATGTTTCTTAGGTCACCAATAATGCATTCTCTCTCATCAATCAATATGATGCCAAACACTAGACCAAATTTTTTCCTTTTTCTTTCTGTTTTTGTTTTGAAATAAAATAAGAAAACAAAATTGTTCTATGTGGTTTCATAGTGATTTCTTTTTGTGTTTCATCCATGTGTATGTAAAACCAAGTGAGTTTATTTAAAAGGCTAAATATAAGTATAAATCTTGCTATAATGGTGATGTACTTCTTATTCCTCTTCTCAACTGTCAAATAGATTGCTTTTCGTGGATTATTTTGGAATCTCTCAAATACATTGTTTTTTATTGATTAATTTGGAGATGAATGGTAGAAGTGAGTTAATGGATTATCTTGGAATGGAGAATGTGAGAATATAATAAGGTGACACTTTTTTTTATACAGGTTGTGGTTAGAACAAGTATAGAAAGTAATATTTTTTATACTAATTCTGAAACGATATAAAAAAGTGAAAACTTTTTATGTCCCCTACTTCTAAACTGGTTCTAGAACTAGTATAGAAAGTATTTTAATTGATATAAAAAAATTTCGTTAGCCAATAGAGAATTGTGATTTTGTTTAAGAGCCTCTTCATAGCCTATATCCAACAATCAAACTTGGATGCCTAAGCATAGTTCATGGTTAAATTAAAATGGAGACAAAGTAAAAAAAAAAATTATACAATTTTTGGTGAACATTTTGGTAAGAAAGGAAATAAGAAATGATTCAGATATGGAAGAAGACATGCCTACAAAATGTTAGCATAACTAGCAGAAGATGCAACACCGTGGCAATTTCTCAAATATTTTTGGTTGGGCTTTTTATGAGTGATTATTTAAGAGGTTGAGAAGTAGTTTAAAATTTGGTTAAGATTGAAAAGAGTCAACAAATATTATAAATTATACTATTAGACTCAATGCAGGGGAGTAAATAGACGAGGTAGGTGGTAAGTTAACAACACTATATATCATGTGATCACACTATATATCATGTGATCAGGAAAACTACGTCTGGTGACCTGCATAAAACACAAATTAAAGAGTAAACTTATCATATAAAGAATATAACAAAGACGTTAATAAAAGAGTACAAAGGATAGGCACTTGAGTTTGTTTCACAAATGAAGTTATAAACTACAGTTACAACGAATATCATGTCTTGGCCTGTTACAACTAAGGAAACACTTATGTTTAACGATATTTGACACTTATATAAAATTATGTTTTACACTTTATTATCAAATATATAATTATTATAAAATTAAAAGTTGGTTGAGTTTTAAATATGAAAAAGAAATGTAATCTAAAATTAAATTAGGGTTTTAAATATGTTTTTAGTCCTCAACTATAAAGCGATTTTATTTTTCGTCCATCTTTCAAACTTTGATACAATTTGATCCTTCTCCTTAAGGAAACTATAATTTTTAGCCTCCAAAATCAATGGACGTTAAAACTCATCTGAGGTGACTAACGATGGTGTGCCACGTCATTTTTCTTTTTATGACACTCTTTCTCTGCTTCTGTGTCTCCCTCTTTCTCCATGTCTTTCCTTGCATTCACGGTCCAGCTTCATCCATCCTTCTTCCAACTCTTTCTCCGCTGGTATCACAAAACTCACATAGAACAATGGGAAAGAAAACAGGGCAGACAAGAAGTTTCAAAAAGAAAAAGAGCCAATAAGAATCACTAACCCCCTATGGTTCATTCACCATGATAAAAAAAAAATTTCTTATACATACTGCATTTCTACCACAACTTAAAACATAACAAAGAAACTATGGAAAGCTACACATACATAATACATATAGATACATACATTAAACTATCTTTTATCCCATTACACCACCATCACGGAAATCACCTTCTTAGCTTCTGGATTGCATTGTACATTTTCCTTTTAGACCCGACAGCATTGATCACAATATCTTTGAGATCCTCCAATGTCAACATAGGAAGCAACTCATCATCGTCCTCATGGATCTCAAACATAAGCGCATACCTACTCAGACCTAACTCGAAAAGCCAAGACCTAACTCCGTTACTCTTCCTCCGTTCCTGCGATTTTGATTCAACACCGTCGTTATTCGAAACCCTAACTCTAGGATCCTCGCTCCGATCCCCATGCCAATAATCCACACCATTATCTTCCACCGAGTGCCACCGGAATCTGATCTTGTTCAGTTCATGTTCGAAATCCCTAAACTCTTCCTCACCGTTCTCGGCCATCGTTGTTGTGGAGTCCAGTTGATCTCAATCGCTTCACTGTTGGTCTCCTCGGCTTTTCCTTTCCCTTATAATTATTGGTGCTCCAACTCTTCGCTGTCGTCCGCGAGGTTCATGACGGAGCGTGCTTCGAAGTTCTTGAAGGTTCCTTCGGAGTCCGCCAGCTCCATGGAAGGCATGCTCGGGCGACGTGTATGCGAGTGTCGTGGCCATGTAAGGCGGACGCGTTGGTCGCTGATCTCTCCTAGACGGACACTCGGACGGCGTTGCCGCTTCGGAGCTAACGCTGGAGGGGCAGATTGATGGAAGAGTTTTGTGATCTTTGAGAAGAGTTTTGTGATACAACGACGAATGGAAGAGTGGGAGAAAGAGGGAGAGAAGCTAGGTGTGAAAATGCAAGGAAAGAAATGGAGAAAGAGGGAGACAAAGAAGCAGAGAAAAAGTGTCAGAAAAAGAAAAAATGACGTGGCACATCACCGTTAGCCACCTCAGCTGATTTTTAACGTCGTTGATTTTAGAGGACGAAAAATTATAGTTTCCTTAAGAAGAATAATCAAATTGTACCAAAGTTTGAAAGAAGGACGAAAAATAAAATCGTTTGATGTAAAGCATATTTTAACCATTAAATTATTTTAATTTAATAATATGAATTAAAATATTTAAACTTCTTAAATATCAAGTTATAATAAAATTAACAATTGCAATATATTAAAAAATTATTAAACTAATTTATTTAACCAACTAATCGAGGAACATTTCTCAAAATTTACTCTAAATTTACAAACACGTGTATATATATATATATATTTATTTATTTATTTATTGGTTAGTTTCAAAGATTGTGAGAAACTTAACATAGTTATAGTTCATGTGAAAAGGAATTATGAGTGCAAAGTTGTACTGTATATAAAACTCACATATTACGACAATTTTACTACTGAAGCAAGTTAACAATATCGAAATTGTTCTTGGTTGAAATCATCATTTAGAAAGTGCTTTCCCAATTATAGAACCTTTTTGGAAATTAAAAAAATTTTCGTTCTTCTATTTAAGCGTATAATTGTGAGAAAATTCGTGTTTAACATTTTTTTCCCTTTTTGTTTTCCAGTCTATTTATTTATATAAATATTGTCATTCATTATAACAAATGACTCATTATCGATACCTTTTAAAATTAAGAAACCAGAATAAAAATATCGAAAATTCTAAAAAAGTATTTTAGTTATCTTCTTTTTTCCTGGAATTTATACTATAAAGAATAATAAAATACATACCATATAACGTTTCATTGAAAGCAAAAAGCAACATTGTGATTACTTAAAAAGTTTTATAAGTTTGATCAATTATTGTTATACAAGTACTAACATCAAAGAATGGAAGTCTGTGCCGTATTGTTGGTGTTTTTGTATGTTATTTTTCCTTATCAGATTGAACTTAATTTCTTTTGGGTTATTATGACTGTGTTCGTTACAGTACGAATTCAGTTTATAAGATAACTTAATCCGAACCAATCAACATAAAAAATTTACATGTATTTAAGTATATCAAGTTAATTATAATCTAACATCATATGTTTAATTTTTTATGAGCTTATTTATCAATTTATTTCATGTTTTTCTATCTTTTAGAGTATCTTAATTTATCTTTAATTTTATAATTTATTTAACTTTCCTCTTTTTATATTTTAATAAAAATCTAACATTTAATTCAAATTAATTTAATTATAATCAATTTTATTCCTTGAAATAAAAAACTAGAGGGCATTTGAGAATTTGATCAATATTTACTCCTAACGTTCATTAATAAATTTTTTATAGGTACATGTTAATTATTAGTTCTTATACAGAATATACGGATAACTATAATATGTCCGTAAAGTATTATGTAAGAAAAAGAATATAAAATGAAAATGAAATTAATTTGGTTAGCATAATATATAGTTTTAGATAAATATACTTATAACTTGGGTCATCGCAGCTTGTGCATTCAAAACCGCCGTTAAAAGTTAAAAAGTATTATTTTGATACGGTATAAAGCTGTCATTTCTTACTTATAACGACAGTTATTTAAAATCGTATTTTAAAAGCCCTTTCAGTAGTCAACTATAGGCGTGTTTAACACAGTGAATAAGTCGTGTGGGTAAACCTAGTAACTAAACAAAGTTTGACTGAAGACAAAGTTATTGTAAATGATTCAATGTAGGTTTAAGACATGATTGATTCTGAAAATATCTCCAAAAAATGGAAAACAATAGTGAAAGTATATGGAATCACAAACGGGTAAAATATTAAAAGTGTTAAATATGCATATAATACATATATTTACTTTAAAATTAACGTTACTTTAGTTCATATAGTTTAGTTTATATATTTAATGTGAAATTAAATTTGTTCATGTTTAAAAATTTTTACTAACTAATATTTTTAAATTTTTTATATCAAATATAATTTTATATTAATATTTAAGTATTTACTATTTTAATATATGTTGTTCAATATCATTTAAAAAAATATATTTGACATGTAAAAAGAATTTATTTGAAGTTTAATGATCAAATATATAAAAGTTTCCTATTTAAACTTATACAATCATTTTAGCCTAAAACATGTATATACAATAGAATTAACTGTAAAAAGTCTAATTAATTTCTATAAAATTATAAATTGAAACTTCACTGTCACTATCTTTTAAGGAAAAATGTAGATGTTATTCAGAAGAAGTCGTTGACTTTTTTTTTTTCTTGGAAAGTAGTGGTACATTAAGGAAACGTGTATTAACGTTTGCCAGAAATCATTAAGGAATAGGTAAAGGATTCAACAAACCAATTGAAAGAACATGATCTTGCCTTTTGGCAAATGGAGCAGTCATAACAAACCTGCGATATCAGTATGCATATGTGGTCAATGAAAATGAGAACGATCCTTAACAACAATTTTTGAAATTCCTGAATGACACCCATTTTACTAACATGAAATTTAAAAAAATTGTGTTATAAGTGTCATTGAAGAAATCACAAGTCTATTTTTCCAAAACAATAAGCCATTTTTTTTTTCATAATAATTAGAATCATGAAGATAATCATTAACATACTTATCATATAATTCATACAAAGTAGTATTGAGGAAGTCTTTAACCACTTGAAGCCATGAACCTGTAAGAGTAGACTAAGTCATAGAAAAAAGCTAAATAAGAAACGAAAGTGAAAAAGAGAATGCAGAGGAGAGAGAGAAGAGAAGGAGAGAAAAGGAAGAGAAAAGGAGGAGAAGAACTCCTACTTAAGGCATTTTTTCACTACCACATCATAATTGAGTCAAGAGTTTTAAAATAGAGTTTTCTAATCTTTGAACTCGTACCACTTCATCAATGATCTCATTTCTTGATTCTAACATTTACTTTTGAAAACTTTTAACTTCACTTTCACTCCCCCATTGTTTAAACTCTTCAATAGCTTTTGAAAAATCACATTTTGAGTTGTTGTTACTTAACAAGTTACAACTAACTCAAGGTGGACAAAAACCATTTTGAACAATAGGTTCTTATTACTTTTGAAGAAAACGTTTAGATTCTTAGGAAAATAATCTTCTTACGGAAATCATTTAAAAAAAATAGAAAGGACATATATTTTGTTATTTACTTAGATATGTTCTTACTTTTCTGGTTACAAAAATTCATTCAATTTTTGTTTGATGGTTATTGCAGATACATCTTTAATCTTGGTAGAATTAAACAACTCAAAATTGTTGTCCCTTAGATACCTTTCCTATCTGAGGACAAATCGTTTTTCAAGAGAGAGAGAGCACAATGGAAACTCATCCGGGGAGCTTGACGAAGATCCATCTAAGGAGTTACAATTTAAGTTAGGACTAGGAGAATGGAAGAAGAAGAAGGACTTTAAGGACCTCCACTCTTGTGGAAAATAGTGTTTTCACGTTTGTTTCTTCCTTTTCTTAAGCCTTGTAAATATGTACATATGTTCTTTCCTTAAGCCTTGTATTTTGGCCAAGTTTTCATGTCTTTTAGGCTTGTTTTTGGCCATTTTCTTCAAAAGTAGTTGAGATAATCGATTATCTACCTTGATAATCGACTGTTCCAGCCAACTTTGGTATTCTCTCATGTTTTAGTTTGGTAATAATCGATTATAGTCTTAGATAATCGATTATTTCGGACATAAACGTCAACTGTGCTAATTTGAGTCTTTTTGACTTCCCTTTGAGTAGAGATGCGTCTAACATCTTTCTGGGCTTGCCTGGGCCTTAAGGAATCCTCTAGAACTTGTCTTAACTAAAGAGGCTCATATTCATTGCATCTAACTCTTAAGGAAGGTTCAAGAATCTCTCATATTTAATGCACCTTAACTGATTCTGTTTCACTTAGCTAAAAATGGGTTTCACTCCTCTCTTATAAGTAGGAGTGACTAAACCTTTGTACTCTTAGCTTGGAATGAATAATAGACAAAATTTCTACCAATTTGCAATCTCCCTTTGTCTAGGCTCGCTAGGATAGATGTCTTGAAGATGTCTCCTAACCTTTTCTTGATGGTTGACCTGATCTCCTTCAAAAAACACTTACATATCATCCTCCAAACACAATATTCATCTTTATATGCTTCCACGTTTAGTACATCATCTTGAAGATTCTCCTTCAACTTACATGAAGAGGGTTTCCATCATCTTAGCACAAAAACTTGTTCTTTAAATGTAGATCTTGACCCATCCTTTGGATCTTCCTCCATCATTACTGTCCTTTGTGGAGTTCCATGAAGTTTGTTTTGGTCAACCTCCTTCATTTGGGTTTAGGCCAAACCAGTTTTCCATCACTGGGGTATGATTAGTGTTGTCAAAATTGTTTGTAACCCTCGAGCCAACCCGGCCCACCACGCGTTTGAGCCGGGTTGGGTTTGAAGAAAATGTAATTTTTTTATGCGAGTTAGTTTTCAACCCGGCTCACTTAGAACCCAGCTCATCCGGGTTGAACCCGTGGTGAGCCGGGTTGGCTCACCAACC